GCACAGGGCTGTCATCAGCTGTGCAAAGAAACGATGCCCGAGTCTTCCACTCAATCCCGAGGTCACATCCTTGGTGCCCCAGCTCCGCCAGCAGCACTAAGCAGCCAGGAAAGGGTCACCCACACACACACAGCTGCTGTGCCCACGGTTGCACCACTTCACATCCCCAGATGCAGTGGTGCTTTCTCTGCATCGTGCCCAACCAAAGGCAGCGAGGCTAAAGCATCCCACGTGCTGTGGGGTCAGCTGGAGGACGGTGGAAGAACGGGGGAACTCGACAGAATTTTTGTGGATAGCAAAACCCCGAGCTGCCAAAATGCACCTTCACCTTCCATGCAGGATCTCCTTCTACATAGGAGGAAATTGCTGGTTTCACAGCTTGGACAACGACGAGTCTCTCAACCCACCACAAAACCTGTGGTACAGCATGCTCCCCAGCACAGGAACACACAGCAGCACTGCAGCAGTGAGGGCTGCAGCCCCACTGAGAACCACAGCACGGCCGCCTGACCCCGATGCACTGCAGCCATACTGGAGCCATACTGCAGCCAGGCTCCCCGTGCCACCTTGGTGCCCCACAAGCTGCCCTCAGCCTACTTAAGGAATCCCAGATAAATTATGAAGTGCTATAAAAAGTATAATAAATTTGAGAAAAGCTGTTAAGTTATAAATACAACCAACACATGCAACATCACTCAGATGGCAGAAACTAGCTACAAAATAAAGTCATTTTAAGCCACTATTCCACAGGTTACCAAGTCTCTTCCTTTACAAATCACACTTCCCTTCATGGCAGCCCATCCCATTGCACACGTTTTCATGCCCATGAAATGCACACACATCCCTGTGTGTGGGACAAGGGACTCCATCTCTGCACCAGGAACTCTAAAGAACAAAGTTACCCCAAAGTCCCCAGTGCCAACTCACAAGCAGAGGCTCTGCAACAAGTTGCTGAGCATGAGCTGCGTCCCCTTCTTAAAGCACAGAGCATCTGCAGGACGAGAGGTTCTCAGAGTGTATTTCATGTTGCTCCCTCTGAATTTAAGGCCCTCTCTGCGTATCAAGCTCTGCAGAACAATTTCTTGCCTTTATTTACTCTCAAGGTCCTGTACGTTATGAATATTCATTGGAATAATTAAAAGGGCTGTTCACAGCCCATTGTGTTTACTGTTAGCCCCATAAAAAACAAACAGGTTAATGACGAGCTTTAATATGGGAATTTAATATCTTTCCACCTATATATCGGCTAAAAGTTTAGCCTCCCCTTTAAGCTTCATCAATTTACGGAGAATAAGGAGCCTCCATAAAAGCAGGCTGCAGCTGTAAGTCACACATACACACCTCTGCAGGTTTGTCGTTATAGTTCTGCTTTACTATTTATTTTATTTTCTTTGCTGAATTTCTCTTTTCAGTTTTGGTCACAGCAGTAGAGGGAGAAAGGCAGGGTGTGATGTGGGAGCACTGAGCTGCTTCACTGCTGGGCAGCGCTCTGATGGGCTGCACAGAGCTGAAAAGTGAAGTGCAAAGGGAGAGGGCAGCAAACACCACTGCTGGCTCACCTGCAGCACTTGGCACTGCTGTGGATGGAGCCTTCCACCGGGCCTCAAGCATTACAGAAACGTTGCTCTTAGAATCACCTGAAGTTTTATTGAATGCAGTGAAAACTCATTTCAGATGAGAATTAGCCCTGGGATGGATGACCACTGGGTGAAGTAGGGCTCAGCCATGCGAGCTAATGAACTCACAGATATCTGGCAGGGAAATGCAGGGTCTGGGAGTGCAGTGCCTTTCTACCCGGGGTGGGGAACAGGACAAACCATGGAGAAAACATCCCACTGAACAGCAGCATCACCACAGCTCTCACCTCCTCTTGGAGCACAGCTTAACCTCTTTCCACAGCCCAAGCAAAGCTGCACCATTTCCTGAACTGCTCAGAGGAGACAGAAGCTAGAAGCAGACCAGCAGACAGCCCGACACCAGGGAAACTGCCAGAGGAAACCACAGGTGTCCCCTCCTGCAGGGCTGTACAGAGGCATCCTCTCAAATGAACTGTTATCATCATTTACTGATGAGCACTCAAAAACAAAATCACAAAAGGGACAGACACCATTCCTTCAATACAATAGCAATCATCCAATCCATTCAGAAGGCATGGAGTAGGAAATCAAACAGAGGAAGGAGTTAATGTGCATTTCTGATGGCTACGAGCTGCTGCTCTCCTTACCTGCAGCACACGCAGGGAGCTGGGGGCTCCAAGGAGGAGCTCTGCTACATTTATAACCAGGAGCACCTGAGCACCTCCCTCTGAAGCTATTCCTGACAAAGTAAAGGGCAAATTCACTTAGAAACCATCAGTTTCCTTGTGATTTTATTTAACTCTGCAACACGCCCTGATGCACAGGAAAGAAGAAGAAAACAACGATGGGCACCAAACCTGCACAAGCTGCAGGAGCAGCACAGTGCCAGCCTCTGAGCATCCTTCAGAGCATCCCTTAGAGCATCTCTCCACTGCAGAATCTGGAAATAACGTTGGCGGTTTCTCTCCAACCTGTGTGTGCTCCACAGCAATGTCAGATTTGCATTTATATTCTTTTTAGGATGAGTTTTCCCATATGTCAGCCTCAACCATCGCAAAGCATTGCACATCACACTGGGATTTGTTCAGAGTGCACCCTGTAGAAGTCACACGTGTGAAAAGCAGAGTAACCTGGAAAGGGCTATTACTGCTAATCCAGCCTTTTGTATGATGAATAGCAACATACCTAGACACAACTGTTGCTGCACAAATAAACTACTTCTGAAAGAAGTTGAGATAAAATGACTTTCTCACTTTCCAACTTTGTCTGTAATCATGGGAAACAATCCATTTCAGTAACTGAAATTCCTTTCTTCATAAGCACCAACCAGATCATGAGGAGGGGGAGGAAAATGAGTCCCTACACTCACATGCAAAGCATCTGTAGTCATTCTTCTCACACTGCACTGAGGAAACAGCACCCAACACCCTTTTTTGGCCCGACAGTGCAAATGAAATGCAATGAGAATTGGACCGGGTGCACTTTCAGAGCAACACAGGTGCAGCTTTAGGGATGCACAGCAGCAGCATCGTGCAATCCCAGTCCCCAAAACAGGGGGAAGCACCATTTCCCAGCACACCGCCCATCTAATCTTGCTGCTGACAACCACAACCAGTTGGGTTTTTCCCCATTGTGGGGCTTCTCGTGGCTCAGCCCGTGGGTGCTGTGCCCAGGCACAGAGCTCCACCGCGTGCAGCAGGGAGCGGGGAGGAGGAAAAAGAGTGGGGGAAAAAGAAAAAATTAAAACATATTAAAGGTGTTAATAAGCGACTTATTTAAATGGAGTATCACATATTGAACATTAATCACCTTGCAGTAAAAGTGTAATTAAGGAGTCACTCTGCCTTCTGGGGAAGGCTCGCTTGGAAGCCGAGTGAAAATGGTCTCTTTATTAACACAAATTATTTTATTTGGCCAAAGGTAATAATTCTAAGTGAGGTCAACGGGACTTGTGCACACGCGAGCAGCACCAGGGCCAGCCACTGTTTCCATGGTGACCGAGCCAAGTTCACCCCCAGCACAGCGATGGCTGGGCTGAGCGCATCGCCCAGCGGGCACCCAGACCTCCCTGCAGCCACAACGCTGCTCCTGGGGACGCACTGTGTGAGCACCATGGCACACTGCGTGCTTTCCTGGCACACTGACATCACAAGGATGCACGGTTCCCACTCTGAGCAGCACAGGGATACAGGCAGCTCGTGCCATAAAACTCAGCTCCAACGGCAGCACCCAGGAGCCACTCTTGGCTCCCAAGCACCCTCCTGCGCTGGGACAGGCCGTGCGTTGAGCTTTCCATGCAGATGACTGTCTGAAAGCAGCTATGATTTATCAGTCTCTCACGTCATGTCACTCCTTTACACACAGCATTATACATAGAGTGCCGCATTAACATTTTACTATTATTCTTACCTTGCAAAGCAAAAAGATAAGTGAGTAAATCTTGTCAGTGTCAGCGGGGCCACGTGGCTCAGCAGGCACAGCCAGGGACACCTCTGTCCCCAGAGCCACCCGGACCGAGGGAAAAGCCTCATGGGACACTTCTCCAGAGGTGCTTGCCATCCTCACAAACCCTGCAGCACTGCCCACAGGATGCCAAAACAACATGGAAGCCGCACTGATGGATGCAACCGAGGTATAGTTTCAGCACCAACCTCAAAACAAGATGGGGTGGGGATCCCAACCACAGCACCCCATCGCTCAGAACCCATTCATACCCCAACACAACGTGTCCCACATGAGTCCGTGTGCTCCCCTGCCATAAACCAGCTCCTGCCACCAAAGTGCTGAGCGAGGTACCCGGTCCTGTGCAACTTATTATCACCTAGTCAAGATTAATCAAGCAGGGAAAGCTAAAGCAGGTCCCTAATTAGTTGCTGATGATAACTATATTTGTCATCCTCTCCCAATTAGTCTACTGTACATTTTGGAGTTTAATTGCACCTTGTTCTTCATTTAAATGTCATCATGTGCATATATTCTCCTCATTCTTTAGTAGATTTGAGAAAAATTTGACATTAAATATAGATTATCTTTAGATTTCCATAATTAACACAACCAAACTGTCTTCAGCTCATGTATTCCACCTCACACGATATATCTGGATGCTCCCTTAGAATTCAGTGTTCCTGGGGCTCCTGCTGGAGGTGGACATCACCACTGCACCAATGACACCGGGACCACGGATGGGTGGTGGTGACACGGCCTGAGGGTCTCCTCCCTGACCGCACCAGGGTGACCCAGAGCCGAGGGGAGACACAAAGCCAAGCAGTAACAAAAAGCAGAAGGGTGACACGTGCCACTACCTAGCCACATGCTGTCCTGCCCCGTCCCCCCACCCACAGCCCATCCAGCAGCACACAGAGAAGAACCCAGAGCAGTGAGAAGGAAGGGAAAAAGCCATCAGGAAAAGCTGCACGGTCCTACCTGTCCCTTAAGATGAGGTGCATGACACCAGTCATCCCTACTGCTTGGCCACAGCAAAATCCCTGTGTCCATCCACGTATTCCCTACTGCGCCAGGTCTTGCTGTGCTCACTGCAGGCTGCAGCCTCCTGGTGCCACGGGAGGAGGCTGCCGCTGACTGAGCAGCTGGGATAGGAGAGGGGAAGGGAAAAATGGGGGGAAAAAAATAAAAAAAGGAATCAAGGAGTAGTCAAAAAGTGTATTAGAAGCAAATTTGGAGAGAAATCAATGGCTTGTAATTAGATTTGATTTTTCTTCACGTTTTGTTTGGCTGGGGGTTATGTATAGACTCCATGTGAGCAGAGAGGAGAGATTAAAGCGCAGAGAACAGGTGCTGGATCACGAGTTGGTGGCCACCAAAGCATGACAGCTCCATCACCGCTGTCAGGTGGCACAGCAAATAAACATATAAATAAATAACAGGGACAGAGATGCAGCAGACCGGCATTCGCTCACATCACCATGCAGCAACACCCAGCCCTACTCACAGGGCTGGCATTTGGATTTCCCACATCCCCACGGCAGGGGATGCTCCTGTACCCCTCAATGCTTTCATCCTCCTGTGGATGCTGGCGCAAACCTGGTATGGGCACGTGCTCCGGGCAAAAGAGAGGAACCTACTTGTGCCAAGTCATCCTGATCATATCAATAGCTGCCCCTAGGAACTCAGTGCTGTGTGTTTGAGGTCTTCTTTCTCCTCTTCTAAATGGGAGAGCTTTGCATACGTGCACATATACACACATATACAGGCACACGTGCACTACATATATGTATAAACACATATAGGGATGACCTACAGGGTGTCCCCTTGCTGGTGATGGCTCTGCCATCAGAACTCACTCTTATGGTCCATTTCTTTTTTCACAACATTTTCCTTTAACCTTGAAATTTAACCTAAAAGTCAGGCTGCTGTCCACATGACTTCCCAAAATAAATGGCATCCCTAATTAGCAGCACCCTCCGCCGCTCCGCGCTCCAGGCCACGCTGCATCAGTGGACACCTCCGCCTGATGAGCAGTTATCGAACACGCGAGCAGCAATCAACACTAATTAAACACTCGGCTGTTGAGAGGAGACAATGTTTTCCAAAAAAAAAAAAAAGAAAAAAAATCAAGAGGAGGGGAGCACATCTTCTGTTTTCTATAATTAGTGAGCAATATTCCCCAGGCGGTTGCAGCAATCGAACGCGGGTTCGCTCGCAGCTGCTGGGTGCACACACACAAAGGATGCTGGGGGCACACGGTCAGGGCAGGGGGAACACCCATGGGTGGAAGCTCAGCAATGCTTCCCAGAATGGGGTCCTGCCCTTCTCATCCCCCTGGGCTGCATGAGACCAGAACAGAAATGTCCCCAGAGGGGGAAAAGGAGGAGGTCAGCTCTCCCTGAACGCTGAAGCAAGGAAGGGCTCCAGCTATAGAGACAGCACTTTCTTGGTTTGTACGTGAGTGAAGGAAAGGCACAAAAAACAATCTTCAGCATGTTCTGTGCTCTGATATTTCACAGAATCACTGATGTTGGACAAGACCATTAAGATCACCTTAGTTAACCCATCACCATCATGCCCTTATAGAACCATGGCATAATTTAGGTTGGAAAAGACCTCCAGGGCCCCCAGGCCCAAGTCCATCCCACCCCACCTTGCCCACCAACCACATCCCCTCAGTGCCACATCTCCACAGTTCTGGAACACCTCCAGGGACCGTGACTCCACCACTTCCCTGTTCCAATGTCTCACCACTCTTTCAGAGAAGAAATTTTTCCTAAATGTGTGGGAGCAAGCTGGAAGTGGTGTCAGAAAAACCTTTGATTATCACACAGATGCTAAATACCATCAGGAAAAGCGTGTGCCAGGGCAGGGGAGGAGCAGTACCTTCCGACTCCAGGCTCATGGTGACTGTGGCACGGCTTTGCTTAAGTGGCTGCACTCTGCCCTTGCACTCTGCTGTGATCTATCCCAGATACCTCCCATGTTTCTGGTGGTAAACACTCGTTTCTTAGAGCAGCAGCAGATGGTCAAGAGCATTTCCTGAAATTGAATATTATAATGAATTTAGGATCGAAAAAAAATTTACATAATAATCTGTTTTAGATTCTGATAGTGAAGAAACCTACACAGGAACTGCTTCTTTTCAGCTATTTGAATTAAAGTGTAAATCTTCAAGTACTTTAATTATAAACAAACTCCTCGCACTTGCACATCCATGGAAGAAATTGAAAAATTAACCACCCGGTGAAGCTCAAGGCCACACATGGGCTCCTAATGGAATGGGACAGGTCTGTGCCCTGAGAACCAGCCGTACCCAAGACCTGCTGATGGGCATCCCTGCAAGCAGGGCAGAACCCCAAAGGGCAGCAAACTCGGCTGTAAAGTGCAGATCCCTTAAGAAACCATCAAATTTCCTTAATAATAACAGAAGGGAGCCATGTCCCTTTTAGGCCACAGGACCAGGGAGCACTTTGCATCGCAGCCCAGCACTGCTGAGGGCTTTCCCTCTTGGAAAAGCAAATATTTAGACTAGATAAAAAATCCCTGAGAGCGTTTTCCCCAGGTAATACTAGTAACTAAAATAATCACATTCACTTTGCTGGTTTAATTTTATATTTCCATTTCTACCTTATCTTTTTCCTGCAAGCATCATTAAACCACACCATAACAAAAATACATGAAGTGTTATTCTTTCAAGAGAAGCCATAAACCACCTCAAAGCTTTTCAAGTTTATTCTTATCTCGTACATCTTCCTCTGGTTCTTTTTTTTTTTTTTCCCCCTCTCTCATGCATTTCAGCAAGGTAGTTTTCCCTAACGTTAAAAATAGTTGCATTGAAAATGAGATGCTGCCTCTGAAAAACGCCTCTGGAGGATTAAATAAGTAAAATATAGCCAGAAAATAAACTGGAACCTCATTAAAATAATTTTGCAAGAAGAAATCCTACCTCACAATAGGTTTTCAATATCACTTAGAAAATTCTTAAGAGTCATACATATATATACGTTCTTAATTCAGGACCTTCCATTAAAAAAGGCATTACAGAGGGAACTGAAAGGCCATTTAGCACCCTTGTTTATAGAAAAATGCGCATTAGGTACAGATGTAATCTCCAGCAAAAGCCTTGAGATATGGCTTGAAGGAGCCGTGCCGCGCTGCAAGGTGCTAATGAGGGCACAGGCAGAAGCAGGGCCCCTTTCTTTTGCTGCAGAACACAAAGCTGTGTCCCTTCAGCCATGCCCACGACCAGGCTGGATCACTCTGGACGCTCTGTGCCACCAACGCACAGCAGCACTGAGGAGCACTAAAAGCAGCTGCTGGAACCCAACACGCCGGCCTTGCAGTGGCACCTGCACAGCATGGAGTGTGGCACTGCCAGGATCTGCAGCAGCCACATTTTGGATCTCCAGAGAAAAGAGCTGAGCTAAGACTTGTGGAGCGCAGGAGAAACACTGCTGATGTTGCAGCTTCTAAAACAGGGCAGGAAAAAAAAAAAAAAGAGAAAAAAAAAAAATTGGCAGGTTTAACTTTGCATTGAGCTACAGCACGTTGTTACATCTCTGAAGTATATAAAACTATTGATCATAAGCAAGTCATTACCTCTGCATGCAGCCAAAGCTGTGCAGTAGGCAAACAAGGGGCTGTCCCTGAGCCCACCCTGCATTGCGCACAGCCAGGGCAGAACCTGCCTGTGCACAGGCATGGGAAGGCTCTGAACTGGAACTGAATTCAAAATGACAAAAAAAAAAAAAAAAATCACAAAGAAACAAACGTGCCTGAACACCCTGCACAGCAAGATGCTGAAATGCTTCGCTTCAATCAGGGACATTTCTTGAGAATGGGATTCCCTTCGGGCTACCTCCAAAACCTCCATCATTTTGAGCTGGACCTCAAGATAACATTAATAACAATGAGGCCGAAGCCCAATCAAGGTTAAAGCCTTTCCCTCAAAGCAGAACACCCCCCCCCACCACCACCCAGCCAAATCCCCCAGCTCCTTCCCACCCCCAGGTGCCAGGGGACACAGGTGCACAGCCCCAGACACATGCAGTTACATGCAGCAGCCTTGCAGAATGCAGCCATAGTCAACCATGCTTGATGTTACACAACATTTGGGTCACAAATTTTATAGAGAATAAATATCACACTTCAATTTCATGGTGACTTAGGAGGGTTGACTGGCAAATACCATGGCTTTTACATGGTTCTACCAATTACCAAGCAATTACACGTAACCTAGATCTGGAGGACATACAGTGGGATATAATACATTCCTCTCTGTGTTAAAAAGAAAGAAGCAGTTAATAGAAAACACTTTTTTTTTTTTTTTTTTAAATAAAACCCTCCTATTAGAATCCACAATATTCCTGGGTGATGTTATTAAAACTCCACGCCAACATCAAACCCAAAGGAAAGACTGCCATCCTTTACCACATCAGTCGTGGGACAATCAATAAAGATTTACTTTAAACTGTGCCATATGTCGCTTCCAAGAAAGTTTTATTATTCAGATTCATCAGTTTGTACCTCAGCCCCCATGCAATTAAATCCCACTTAGTGGCACCGACCTTCTGAGTTGAACTTGTCATTCCTGCAGCTGGTTTGGAGTTTAACACCACTCTTAAATAACGAAAACAAAACGTCTGCATTGATGGGGAGCACGGGGAAACCCCATCAAAACAGGGAGAGGGGAAGAAAAAAAACACACAACAAAAAGGAACGCAGGCACATTTTAACATGTTGTAGCATATTTGTAAACATCGTTAATCATGGATTAGCAGATGGTAATGCTAATTGCACCTGTGGAAGTAACAAGACCTCAAGGTTGATTACATTTACAAACTCCGCTCCTCGCTGGAGGATTCCCTGCTGTGCCTGGAGGACCCACGTGCTGCAGGACGACCCTCTGTGCCTCCCTGGAACCACTCAGAGCAACAGGACCGTGTGCTTATTGGGATCCTTGGGCTCTTTGACCTGATTTGGGGGGGATGAAGAGATTTGTGCTCCCCTGGTAAAAAGGCAGAGATGGGGAGCGTGGCTCCTGAGACACAAGGACAAATATTTTGCCATCGTGCCTAGAGACTTTTTGATTATTGAGAAATCATTTTGGAAGGGCAATTACTAAATTTTAAAATCAATTTGGTAAATATGCTTCCAAAAGGAATCCATGACAAGCAGCAGGGAGGGAAGAATTGACTTTTAAATTACACAAACACACGCTTTATTCATATCTAAATATCAAAGAGACTCTATGTACAAACAGAAGTAATCAGGAAGCATGTTTTGATCTTGCTGATGTACACAAAAAATGACAATTAATGTCCTCCTTTATGATATAAAGCCGTGAGTTTTTTACAGTTACATTACAGGGACGATTATAGTTGAGCTTAAGGCTAAAAATAATGAAAGACTATAAAAACTACATTTTAACATTTAAAAATATCCAGGAAATTAACTGCAGAAGCAGGCAATGATCCAATTAATGGATTGCATTTATTAAATCGGGGGCAAACCGCACAGCACTCAAAGCTCCAGCTCCAAAGGTGCAGCTCTGCCTGGTGCTGTGACCATTCCCAGCGCTTTCCCTGGGTGTGCCAACAGAGCTGGCAGGCAAACTCTCATTAGCACTAACCATAAAGCACCACTGCCTCTTCAACTCAAACCCTGCAAGCCCTGTCTGACACTGCAGCACCAAATTTAGGCCTGAAGAGGTATATAGCAGCAGTGTCCCCACAGGCATCAAAGCTTTCTGGGAGCTTTGCAGAAGAGGTTCCTGCTCCATCGCTACTCACCTGGGATCTGTTGGGGATGAGCCGCTGTGGCTGAGCGTGGGCAGAGGGCACGTGGCTTTCCCAAACACAAGCAACCTTAATGAAGGGTCTCCTCATGTTTAAGCACTGCACAGAGAAAGACATTATTTGTTTTTTAATGGAGAAACTGCAGTTTATATGGAATTAGAAATCTCTCTCTTAACGCACTTAACTATAGGTCAAGAAGAAAGCAATGGCTCTATCCTCATCCCTGCTGCTGGAGAGGATGAACCCTGCTAGCCCCAAGAGCTGCATCTGGCTTGCGAGAAATAAGCAAATCTAGAGCACGGGCTCCCTCTGCTGGGACAGACACGGCTGCACAGCCAACATCGTGGCGACAGCGCGCCAGCAGCCTCCCCAGCCCTTTCCCCTTTTATTTCCGCAATTAAGAGCCAGGCACATTCAGCCCCAGAAACGTAAGTGCCCCACACCTGCCCAAGAACCACTATCCCTGTCGTCCACCAGACCTCAGCTGCTACTCAGTGAACATCTTCAGACTCAGCACCACAGCTCTGCTCACATTGCAGCAGGCATTTCGGGGAGGATTCGGTTTTGTCTTTTTGCAGAGGAGACACCTCAGGATACACTGTGTCACAACAGGCACCTTCAGCTGCGGCTGCAGACCCAGAATGGCGTACTCAACACCACCGAAAAGTCACATCTCTCAGTGCAGAGCAGTGCAGGATCCCACCTAGATGCCATTAGGGCATGGCTTACCCTTACCCATCCACATGGGGCTCCTCCAGACACAGCCCCAGCCCCTCTGTCCCACCTCACTGAGGGCTCAGAGCAGCGCAGGCAGTTAAGGCTGTAGCCAAGCAGTCAGCACCATGAAACCCACCACTGGGTCACTGCCTCCATGGGCCGCGCTCCATGCTCACTTCAGCCAGGAAAGTCCTCACTGCCAATGCAGTTGCAGAGCAGTGTGTCCTGTCCCACCCCACATCCTGTCCCTCTCCTCATCCCACCACAGCCATTGCCCTCAGCAGGGCCGCCAGCCTCTTGCAGGGACACATCTGAAAAACCTCCACATCCACAGACTGGTTTACAGACTTCATTTAGCTCAAAGGAAAGTCCTAATTAGTCACTCTGAGTGATTTACTCGTTCACTTGGAAGGGGGAGAGGAGGGAGACTAAGCTGAATTGTTTGAAATTATCCCTAAAGGGCACTGTAAATTAAGTGTTAATGAGGAATCCTATGCAAAGGGCCACAGTAGCTAAATAAAATAATTAAGGTGCTAAGCGATAACATTCATTCGGTTCTCAATAATTCAGCCAGGCTTGTTCTCAACCAGGATATTTGCAAATGAAGCCACTGTCATCACTGCCCCTGAATCCACACACCATCAGTGGGGACAGCAGTGCTGGGCAGCTCAGAGTCCAGCTGGATTAGATCCATCACGAGAAGAAAACTTCCCTAAATGAAGAGAACAAGCTCCCGGCTCCCCTTCCCACCTGAAGGAAGTGCCTCGTTCCACTAATCACACTCTGGATTTATATATGACACAAAAAGGATTGAGTCAAGTCTACAACAAATCTTTACAGAGGCTTTATTTTAATGGGCTGCATTTTTCCCCACTGCAGCTGTTTCTAACAGGTCACGTTCATCCTCTGGCACGGCCGCAGACTTGTGTTACAAATACAACACGGTGTGTTTTCAGACATTCAAGCAGCAAGGTGTAACAGAGAGACTGCCTCATCATGAATAAATGGCTACTGAGCAGTCCCAGATCAGACTAGCTTCTATCCAGCACTCCAGGCACAGGGCACGGCTGTTCTCTGAGTCAGCATGAACCACCATTCATCTACAGCCCCATACCCACAGCCTGAGCAATGCAAGAAGTTCCCCAAGCAACAAACACAAGGCTTGCAGCCACCACTGCCTATTTTACTGCTAAAACTGAAGGTTTGTCTACTTTCAAACCTCCTTCCTTACAATCTCTCCTCTGAGATGCTGGTGGAACGTGTTACTATGCACGCAGGCATGACTTCAGTGCTGGCCCAGGGCTGCTGGTGTGGTGCATGAGACAGAACACACCCTGGGTCAGTAGGGCTCACCCTGAAACTTGCTGAGATGGTGCCGAGCCTGGAAGGAGTACTACCATATCCATACTGAACACAGCCATGGAACACTGAGCAGTTTCTTGCCATCAAAGATCTTGGCTGGGCAACTTCCACCATGTGCCAGGACAAAAATCAATCACCGTGCCTCAGCTTTTGGCTGCAGATGGAGTGCAGGAGAATGCCTGTAGGAAAGTAAACAAAAAGACAATAATCTTTTATTTTAACTCTGTAAGAAAATCTGAGGGTCTGGATGCTTGACTGATTTTTAAATGCAGAAATTCAGTCCAATGCCATTGCACAGGATCTGTTTTTACCAGTGGCTACGGAGACGTTCAGTGACTCGATGCCTGGGTGCAGTGCCCTGCCAGAGGGGATGACCAGCATCTGGTGGCACAGGAGCTGCGTCTCCAGGGAAAGGCCATCACCTTCACTACCTGCAGAACAAAGACTGCTCAGGTCAGCCTGCAGCCACGCTCCTCTTTTCCATTCATCAGTATACGTCGCTGTGAAGTAACTTCCCAACTCCCATTAACAACAACCACAGACAGATGGAAACCTGTCCTATCTTCCCTTCCCAACCCCTTCCACTCACCCTGGATCTGTTCCCAGAACCAGCAGGGTTTTTGAGGAATACCTGTGCATCACACCTGTACTCCAGCATTAAGCACAGAGCCTTGCAAGCACAAGTGTGAGGATCCCATAAGCAAGCATCCAATATGCAGCTGCCCACAGAACGGGCTGCTGCCAGGGGATGAAGCAGACAAGGCCACTGGCCTCCTCTGCCACAGCAAATCTGTGTCCCTATCAATAGTGACAGGTTCAGCCCTTTCAGCAGAGAGTACCACCAGCTGAGTGCAACTTGTGAATGCAGACAGTTTAACCAGAGGCTTCAATTGATTAGTTGTTAAACCATCCAACAGCCCTGATATGTTTGGGCTGATACACTGGTGAAACAGAGTTGAAATCTATCCCAGGTCATTAGTAGTTGTTTGACTCACACTGTCACAAAGGGAAATGGAAAGGGAGAGGCTTTAAACAACCCTATGTGCAGACAAGTGAAAATTCAGAAGACCGCAGACCTCCCAGCCTGTTCAGCTCCCCAAAGACTTCTTCCATATTCATTATTTAGAGCTACACAGACAGCTACATGGCTGCAGGAACACCTGGCTCATTTCAAGACGTGCTTGCCCCCTAACAAACTAGGCTCAGCATGATGGAAGCCAAACGTTCCCCTTCAGCTGCTGTGCTCTGGTCCAGACTCATCCCACAGCAGCACAGGGGCACACACTGCCTGACAGGGGCTGCTGTGCCTCTGCTTCATAGGATTCTTCAACTTGGACTGCACCTATCACCAGCGGTGCCACAGCTCCTGGAGCATTCCTTTCCTCTCTCTGATAAAGGTCTTACGATTCCTAATAAAGGCAGCAATTTGGCTTCCAGCTTTTACAAAGCTGTTTATGGCCCAGGCTGCTTAAAATAATTAGGACCCATAAATTCAGGGCAAAAAGACTTGCACAGAGTGCGACACGTGGGAGGGAGTATTGACTAGATCAGATAAAATCCTGGTCTGTACTGGTGAATAAAAAGCACATCCTTGGCTTCAGTATCAGTTTTGTCTCCCGTTGACAGCGCACCTGACGTAGATCCTCTGAATTGTTTGGTAATGCATCTACGTGCTCCCAACCCATTCCTGTTCACACAAGGCTTCCAGTCTTAAGGCCAGTCAGCATGTCTGCCACCTCTGGCAATGAGTCCAGAGCAAACAACACCAACTTGGACTGTCCAAATCATTCTCTGCTATGCCAGCGAGGACACCAGAGGAGTGGATTCGAGTCTGCAAACACAACTTGTAAGACAATCTGTGCGATGCCAGGAAGCTCACTACCATGCTAATATATCTTTGCTGCTGTTTGTGGCTAGAAGTGTGCTACATATTCAGATCTAGGATGTTTCTTCAAACAACCCGAGCATCAGACAACTGTAATGTTCAATTTTCTTTTCAGCAAAGAGTTAGTGCTCAGCAGAGGGCTGAGATCATTACTGCTGCAAGGTCTGGGAGCTCTCCTTACATATCTACCAATCAGCCTCCAATCTCCCTTGACAAAAGGATACTTGGACCTTTTCCTGGAGAAATCTCTCATAATTCAAGGTAATGACACCATTGCCACTTTCACCTCCTTCCTTTCTCTTGGTGTTGTCAACGTTTCTGGGATGCATTTCTTTGTGGTCTATCAGCACTGCTGCCAGTCTCCCTATTCCCTTTATAATATAGGTTCACACATCTTGTAGAGATGCCAGATTTGCTGCACTGTCTTGTCAGTATTTCTAGGAGTTCAATAAACATTTTAATTAAAAGAATGTCCTCTGAGCCAAGAAAACCACAGCACAGGGCAGGATTACAGCCCCTTGATGGCTCATCACCAGCCTGACACCACTTTCAAGTGTAAAAGCTCAAGCCAGCTCTTATGCCAGGTGACAGACACAAAGTGGGGACCAAGAAGATGCCACACATGGGTGCTTAGAGCAGCATTCTTCCTCTAGCTGCCACAAGGCCATTACTCCCCTTCTTTTCACCTTCTGTCAGCCTACACAGCTCCAAACTCTGCCTGCAAAGGACAGCACCCTTTCCAAATCTCCTCCACACTAAGGAGGAGAAGCAGAAGGCCCTGGAGTAATCACAGTTTAGTTGCTCAGGACTGGGAAAGTGGCACTTCTTGCTCACACAGCACACTGTGAGAAAGCTCCTGGCCTTCCCCTTTCTTCTGAGACCATGTTCCATTTCCAGGCAGATCATTTTATACTCATTCTATTGCTCAGCTTCTCTTTTCCAGACCAAAGTGTAATGGAACATAACAGATCTGCAACTAGCTTAGGGGATGGAATGCCATCCCCCTCATTCCCTCACATATGCACTTGCCCTGAGACCAAGGCTCTGTAAATTGAAATACCTATCACTAAAATAATGGGTTTGTTCCACCGAAACTCCAAGCAGCTGATGACAGGAACATTTTCCACAGTTTCAGACTGGCTCACTGTTCCCACAACTTCCCAGCCTTCTGCAGCTTTAGCCTGAGAACAGGAGAAGAAACAAACGTTATAACAATACTAACTTTTCAATCTTAAAAAGAAAATAAGACATGTACATAACCATATTTTTTTCCTAGATTCTCAGTTAAGCTGACTGGTTTTTTGACATCCCTTGAATTTTCACCACCGAAGCCCTACCAGAACCAGGACACAAACCTTGAATGAGAAAAAGAAAAACAAAAAGTAATTTTCCTTCTGGTGCTTCTTCCAGTTCAGCAAGCAAACAAAAAGCAACTGAAATTACTTTTTTTTGCCAATGCAACAGTTCTAGGGAGGTTTGGGTGTTTTTTTGCTTTATTTTGTTTCCCTGAAAAGCATTCAGGAGTTGCTGTATTAAACAAATCAGCTTAAAGTTAATGAACAGAGTAATGCAGTGAAAGTTTTGAAGCACAAACTCAGCCACCAGAAGCCCCCAGAAACATTTTCAAATACAGATGCACATCCAAAAATCAGTTCATGAAAAAGCAGGGCACTCAACACTCAGCACCTCACGTAGCCAGAGAAACAGCCCTCCTTCCCCTGCCCTAACATAATGCACTTTAATTATTTGTCTTAGAAACCTATTTTAACAATAAAAGAGCTGCTGCCTCTTGCCAGCTTCATTTCCTGTGGAACTGACACTTTTTACATTAAGTTGCATCAAATTCACACCAGACAATTCCAATGGTTAGGCCAGAGAATCTGGGTCCAATAAAATGAATGGCTACAATGGCTCAAAACGTTAATAATTCAAACTTTACAGCAACAAAGCGATTCTTCCAGCTGTTTCGATGTGAATGTACTTTATGTACATTCAATTCTTCATCATTCAGAGCTCCAGCTGCCACAGACCTGCTGTACAGCTGAACACCAGCCTTCTGACAGTGTGGGAAGAGTCCACGCTTAGTCCAGCTCATGGTCACAGCACCTGATGAGCTCCCCCTCAAAGAGACAGAAGCAGAGCTACAGACTGGGTGCAGCTCACACACAGCCCTGGTTTCTCACCACTCCCTTGCACTAAAAGCTGCCCAATGCTGCCATCATGTGCCAGGCTCGAGGACATTACCTCCGTGCACATCAGGGAAGACCCACAGCAGGGAACTGCACCACCTCTGGTCCCCATGGATGGGTGGGGGGACAGATCCCATCCTACTGGGTAAATCCATCCTACCATGCCAGCACCTTTTTCCTGAAAGGCCCTGCAACACAGAGCTGCTACTCCACCAGACTGGGGGTGCACATCTGTAAGAGATCCTATGGCACACACCACAAGCAGCAAACAGGAATGCAGAGCAGGAGCTCTGAACACTGCAAATAACCAAGTCCTCTATTTGTACCTTCTCTGCTCAATACACATACTATTTGAAGCCTTCCATACGTTGTAAAATAGTAAAAAGAAATGTGCATCATTCTACCTTCAAAAAGCTCCTGAGATCATCTGTGCTGTAGACATCAAAGACTTCCATAGCTCCAGAACTTGCTTTGCTCACTGTTGGAGTCAAGGGGCAGCTGCAAGAGAAAAAGAAAGGAAAAGTTTCATAAAAGAACAGAAAGGGAAAACTAGGAGGATTTCTGCTTCTGTATTTTCTCCTACGACCCAACTTCATCTAGTCTGCAAAAAATGTTGTTCTCTCAATGGATGCGCTTTCCTATGGGGCACAGGAAGGCTCAGATACAAACCCAGGAGACAGCCTGCAGCACTTTGTGCGCAGCTGAACAATTAAAACACAAAATGGGTTTTTAAAAAAAAAGGGCACCCAAGGAGGTTCCCTGCCAGCCTGGAACGCTGCATCCCACAGCCTCGACTGCCCAGCTCTGCCCAACCCCACATCTCGAGGTCAGTCTTAGAAAGCCCTCTAAAGCTGCTGTTCAGAGTCTAGGCTTGAGACCTCTATGGGGAAGAAAACAGAAATCCTGAGCACCGCGGCAGCGAACAGCCGACCCCATACCTGTTCCTCCGGCTCGTCACCACTCTGTCCGCCCCCAAGAAATACGCAGAGCGCAGCAGTGCCCCCAGGTTCATGGGGTCCTGGATCTGCTCCAGCACCAGCCACAGCAGCTGCCGATTCGGGCTCTCTCCATCCCCCAAACCGGGCTCTTCGGCCTCCTCCAGCCTCTTGAAGCGGAGCGGAGTGGCCTCCAAGCACACTCCCTGGTGGACGCGGCCCCCGCACAACGCATCCAGCTCCCTCCTCCCGACGTAGAGCACGGGAATCCCGCGCGCCGCGGCCTGCAGCACGAACTCGCTGCTGATCGCACGCTGAGGGCCGCCGCTCCGCTTGAGGAACAGCCTGAACAGATCCCTCCTGGCCCGGGACAGGGCCATGGAGCACGGCGCTACGCCGAACAGGATCTCGCTGCCCCTCGTCCTCTCGATGGACAGAGCCCTTCCGTCCGGCCTCCTCCCGCCCTTCGAGACCTCGCGTCTCGCTGAGCCCCAGCCTGAGTCCCGCAGACCTTCACAGGAGATGCGGGCTCGGTCCCCGCCTCGCGCCGCAGCCGTGCAGAACCGCCAGGGCTGCCGGACCCGCGCGGGGCCCTTCCCAAAGCAGCGGCTGCAGGTGGCGGACGGCAGCCCCACGGCCCCGCGGGCGAGAGACCTGAGCGCCTGCTCCATAGCTACCCGCACGGGGAAGAGACCCCCGGTACCACTCGGGGAAGGGGGGCAGGACGAGGGGACGCAGAAACACTCGATCGGACCGGGACGCGGCCCGGCCGCACACGCGCGCGCGGCGCGGATTCCTTGAGGAGGCACCGCGGTCACGCGCGGCCCCGCCCTCTCCTATAACCGCCGCGAGCACCGCGCCGCTTCCGGCCGGCCAGAGGGCCACTCAGCGCCACAGCGCCCCCTGGCGGTCGGCGGGGCGCAGCCTCACGGCCCGGATCTCCATTAAAACCTTCATTGAATAGGAAAATGCCTCACGAGAGCTGGAAATACGAGTTTTGAGGGCAAAACCCTGCTCTATTCTACCCGGACACAGTAATCACAACGTGCTGCCTCTGGCATTGCGGGCAGAGGTTCCAGAGTGCATGCGATGCGCCCCACGTTGTCTCACTCCAGCTCACCAAACACCCAAAACCAAAACGCTGCTCCAGTGGCGGCGCACTTCATATCCATCTTTTCCTTTCATAAGGGAGGAGATGGCAATTGTTCCACGACTATCTCTTCTAAAAGGAGTTTGCAGAGAGAAGGGTTTCCGTTTTCTACTGAAGCAGTCTTCTTCTGTTTATACAGATGGAGATTTCTTGAGTAAAATGATCTTATCCTGCTGCCTGCCAGAGCCAACATGGTTCCTCCCACCCAAAATGAGAGCCGAGATCTGCCAGCAGTACTCACAGACTGCCACATAACATCTCCTAGAGGTACAGCAATGTTAACACAATTGATGACATTTATTACGTAGGAAAAACAAGGAAAGCACAAGATTAGAAAAAACAAACATGCTTTTAATTCCACAAATGCTCTCTACCTATTTACAAGGTATCCAAAACACCTGCCTCAAATCCAGCAAGGCAGCCAACACAGCTATTCACTACTTATTTGCAAAAACATTGTGTTTTAATGACAGCAAACCTGAGCCTCTGCACTTGGACAACCTGAAAGAGGACCGGAAAGTAAAAATCCTTCATTTAACAACAGCAATAATGCACCCCACTTCAAACAAGTGTGGGAGATTGAAAGCGTTCAATATCCAAGTCTGCACAGCAGTACTGGCTCATCCCTTGCATAGTTTTAGCCAAACCCAGCAGCCTACCTGGGGATTTCAGCAAATCCCTGTGGAGCACGGCTTCATTTGAACAGGGAAGGGCGAGTCCAATCTCCACAGGTCATCCATGAGACAACTGGATGCTATTCTGCTCTAGAAAGCAATTGCATTTTTTTTTCCCCGTGAGGAACCAAATTCACATGTTTCTGTTTGAACTCTTCACAAAAGATAGGTTTAGCTGTGAACAGTAAAAAGGATGTTATGTTTAAACACGAACTACGATATGCAACAGAAGAACTACATTGCGCCTCTCTTCTTATTCTTTATTTCCTAGTTCACAAATTAGAAGCCTACTGATAAATTGCACAGGTCACTCTCCTGTCAGTTTCTGAACACCTTGGGTCACATTGCCAACCTCATCCCAGCCCAGGAAGAAGGCTCGAGGTGCCACCAGGTCACACGAGGCAGACAGGCCCAGCTCCCGGTGCCAAACTCCTCTGTGGGCTGCACTTCACATGGGAAAGCAGCCAGAGGCAGGAAGTCATCCGGCAGGAAAAATCATCCCCCAAAATCTCATTCAAAATGGAAAAACATAATAGATACCATTTCAAGGACGAGATGTTTTAAAGATGTGCAAATGTTACAAACACTCATGGAGAAAAAACACTTCCAGGGCTGCAGGTCAGCCAAGTTGCATCTGCAAGGAGTGACTATCCATACTGGCCCCTTTTCAAGGCCTTACATCTGCAGAGCAGAAAGATAAGCCAGGTCCTGTCTCAGCCATTCATTTCAACAGCTGCTGAATTTCACACACAGTTGCAGCCACCAGTTCAGCCATTTCAACAGTGCTTCCCACAGCCTTGCCTATTTTTTTTCCTGCTAATTTCTCAACTCTTTCTTTTTTGACCCTCAGCTTCTAGTTCAGTTCTTTTTAAAAAACGGTGCACGCTGCACCTGTTGACTTAAACAAACTCTTGTGAAAGAAAACCTATGGAAAAAACTCACAGTTTTCATATTAAGTACAACTGAACATCACAGTTTGGGGTTGGACCTTCCTTAGCAAAAGGCCTCTGGATTGTGCACCACAGCAGCATGGAGGCTGAAGAGCTTTTCCAGCTAGCACAGGCTTTTTCCACTGCACTGAGCATCGCTGGCTGTGTGCAGACCTGGACTGGCTGCTCCTTGCAGGACACAGTCTAACTCGGTGCTGCAGGTGAAAGTCAGCTCTGCAGCAAGAACCTACACAGAGCCACCGCCTCAGCTACGTGGAGGAGGGCAGTGCATCAGAGTAGTGCAAGACTTTGCCACAGGGCATGAATTTCACTCAGAGTAAATTGAAAGGCCAAATCCAGACACAAGGTTACATGTACTAACTAGCAGAAACCGGTGACAGATGAGGGACAGAACACACCATGAGAGCGTATTTATAAAGATGAAAAGAACAGGGCCACACAGCCTTTGTTTTTACCATTATGAAGGAATGCTTTACCACTTTCCCCCTTACAGCCTTCCATGCTTGCTCACCTTTGGCACAAGGAATTCTATGCATCGTGAGATTTAATTAATAATAATACTTCATATCAACACTCAGCACTTACGTAGCGCCTCTCATATTCAAAGTGCTTTACAAAACAGCTTGCGAGTCCTCACAACACCCCTGTGAGGTAGGTTAAGTATTATTATCCCCATTTTACAGATGGGTCAACTGAGGCAGAGAGGTAAAGCGACTTGCCCAAGGTTATACAGGGAGTTGGAATTCATGACATAGTGGTCGGGTCTGGTCTCCCTTGTGGTGCTGTAACACAGATGAACTCCCACAGAGCTGCACTGGCATAAGCAAAACAATCCAAACCAAGTTTCCCTGGCTCTCAGTCCTCTATTCAAATCAGCTGATCATACCAGCTCCACCTGCAACAAGGTGTTCACCTGCTGAAGTACTAGAGGAAATCCAAAGTACAGCAGAAGAGACTGCAGCCTTAAGGCAACATGCACGTTAACAGTGCCAAATCAAGTTGGGCTCAATGCAGATATGTTTCTGCCACACTGTAAGAGCAAATAAAACAACTCAAGTCATCTCCAGCTGTGCATGCACCAGCCAGGGGGCTAACTCCCCCCTCCCTCAAGTTAGAGGAAACCCAGAGCAAAACAGTGGGGCCAAACCAGCATAGAAGCAGTAGATCCAAAGCAGACCTTTCACCTACTGCTTTGTAGCAAATGCCCCTATTAATATATTTTCATTTTGGACAGCTTCAGCATGGTTCATTTCACTCTCTCTCTCTCTCTCTCTCTTTCTCTCTGAGTTTGTATCTCTGCATATAAACAAAATTCCAATATTTCCAACTTAAGAGTGATCAGCACTTAAACAGCATCATACATCTTTCAAAGACCGATCAATACTTCCAAAAAGCATCAATGCATGCAAATATCAAACATACAGAAAACCAACAAGAGTGCTGGGTGATGATACCAAGGATAAAGGTGGTCACAAGACAGCACATTTAATTTTTATTAAAAATACTAAACAACTCACTCTTACTGTACCTATGCCACTTAGAAGATCATTCTAACCTGCAAAAAATACAGGTTCTTTTCCCAAAACTATTTACCTACTTACCTAGAAAGAAAGAAACAGCAAGCACACGTTTATACCTCCTCAAACTTGGCAGGCACAATTCATATGAATGCAAAGGGAGAGTTTGGGGAGGCAGGGTGAGTTTGTACATTGGCTTTAGGGCAGTGGCATATGAGAGAAGAAAATATCACATCCATCGTTACCAAAAAAGTATCAAAAATGATGAGAAGAAACGTGAAAAATAAATGGATGACATCCACCAGAAATCTCAAACCCTAAGCACATGGAAGCTGGCAAACACCTTGTGCCACTTCACCTATGTCCAGACATCAAATAAGATCAAACCAACCTTGAAAAGAAAGCAAAAAGAAGAATAAGCCAGTCTGGAGACAATCTTCCACAAACCACTTCCCTGCATTATTTTCAAATACATTTTACTCTTACTCAGTTTCCAAAAGAGTAGGGGAGAAAGAGACTCACTACTATATATATATTTTTTAAAACTGGCTCCATACCAGCACCAGCTGAGAGAGAGGGAGAGAAAAATAATTCTTCAAACATGATCCTTGGTACTTGAATAAAACGTTGCTAGCCAGCTGATGAAACCCACATTGCCAGAGGGTTCCAAGTGGAGTGGATGCACGGTGCTGCTCACGGTCTTCTTCATTTGCTATGATATCTGTTCCGTGGGCCTCATCTGTATATCTCCAATCTAGAAGAGACCAGCACATGATTTTGCTGCAGCACTGACATATGTTAAACCTTGCACTGTGTACTCGCATGCTGTACTGTTACCGTGGTAAGCTGCACACAAAGGAAGTTCCTGCAACTAAAAATAAGGCTGTTTAGCTGAGATACTAAAAAGAAATAAAAGTGAATGTAACTTTTTTGCCTATAGCAGAAAAGAAAAAAGAGCAAAATGCACAGAAAAGAGTATGAGATGCCACTGAACTATAAAAGTTTATAACCAAGTCTTAAGCATGGTCCTGCTCAGAGGATGAAACAGAGGCACTGCTTTTACCTCTCCACATTGGCCCCCAGGATGACCTTTCATGCTCTTAAGGCAAGAAGGCCAGCTTCATTAGAGACAGGACCCCTCAGGTGCTGTGCTTCTAGACTGATCTAACGTCAAAGATGGTTGCACCTTGCTCCAAAGGAGCAGAGATCATACTATGGGTTTGCTAAGCATCTCGTGATCAAAGTTTGCTTTTGCAACAGCAGCTTAGTCAACATCCTAAACTTTGACACCATTCTTCCCTCCTCCTGTTTCCCGCTCAGAGCTGGTCACTTATTTCTTGTTTCCCAGGAAAGAAGTCCCTCTGGCAGCAGAAGCACCTTGGCAGGATCCAGCCCAACACATTTGGCAACTGGCAGAACCTGAACCAGCTGTAAGACAGTCAGCAAATCTCAGATGGCACCGTCCAGAAGGGACAAGATGTGCCTGTATCCCTCCCACTCCCCCTGCTTTGCACAATC